GTTCCTGAGGCCTTTTTCTCAGAACCCCATCACCTGGTTTTATATTTTGAATATCTCACACAAATCAAATCAATTGAATTATATGAACATGGAGAACAGCATCTTTCACCATAGCCAAAAAGTAGAAAGAACCCAAATTTCCATCAACTGAAGAATGGATAAAGAGAATGTGGGATGCCCATGCATTGGAATATTATTCAGCAACGTAAATGAGGTGCCGATACATACTGCTCCATGAGTGAACTTTGAAAACATGCTATGTGCAGGAAGCCAGTCACAAAGAGCCACATATCGTATGATTCCATTTACACAAAAGGTCCAGAATAGGTAAAGTTTTAGAGATGGAAAATAGGTTAGTGATTATCTAGGGTTCAAGGGGTAGGGAGAAAATTGGGAGTGACTGCTAGTGGGTATGGGGGTTCTCTTTGGCAGAAAGAAATGCTTCAGAATTAGTAGCAACAGTTGGAAAACTGAATATGCTAGAAGTCACTGAATTGTATACTTCGAAAGGGTGAACTTCACAGCATGTGAATTCTCTCTCAATAAAAAAGCCTCAGGCCAGGTGTGGTGGCTCACACCTGTAATCCCAGCACTTTGGGAGGCCTTATCCTGATTGATCTCATGCTGGTGTACTAGTTCACTCTCTTGTTGAGTTGATGGTTGCCATGTCCCAAAATGGTCAGAAGACGAAATATAACATGAACAAGCTTATCTCAGGGTTTTGTGGTGTGTCTGACATCTCTGATTAGAATAAGAAATGTAAATATGTTGAAGCTTATTCTCCTCCCCTCTTTTCCAGAAATTTCACAAGCTATAAAATAGATGAACCACAGAGGCAGAAACAGAAAAATGGTGAATAATTTATTCACTCACTTGTTCTCCTGGAGGGAAGTTGAGTGAAGAAGCCGCGTAGTTTAGTGGCAGGGGGTCCACTTTCCTTCCTCATCCTCATTCATCTCTGTCCATCCCTTCCCTAAGTGCTCTTGATTTCAGCACCACGGACAGAGCCATGCCTTCCTTGTGATATACTTCTTTTTACAGCTAAATTTTCATTGGCAAATAATATCGCATATATTACAATGGATGTTTGATTTTGTATACATATAACAATTATCAATCAAGCTTATTATCACACTACTCTCGCCTCAAATATTTGTCATTTCTTTGTAGTGAGAATATCAATCCTTTCAAGCTATTTTGAATATACCATTATTATGTAGCCACTTTGCTGTGCACTAGACCAGAATCTATTCCTCGTACTATAGCATTTACCTGTTGTCTGTCCCCCACCTCCCCAGCACCTGTGTAACCACCATCCTACCTCTCTGTTCTGAGCTCCTACTTTTTAGACCCATATATAAGTGAGATCAACAGTACTTTGGTTCTCTACACCTCCTTATTAAATACCATGATTCTTCTAAGGTTCACCTGTGTTGTCACAATGATAGAATTTCGGGGTTTTAGGCTGATAGTATTCCACTGGTGTATAATACCTACCATTTTTTAAAAATAGAGCCATTGATGAACGTTCACACCTGTTTCCATATTTGGCTATTGTGGAATAATGCACACAAGAAATGGATGAAGACACTCTCCCACTCCTGATTTCAGTTCCTTCAGATAGGCCATGTGGAATTGCTGGGTCATATGTGATGTTTTTAGCTTTTTGAGTAACTCCAGTACTATTTCCAAAATGGTGATATGATTTCAATACACCAATAGTGTAAAGTTGTTTAATGAAAAAATCTAAGATCCATAATTCTAGTGCAGTCCATGCCACAAGCACAAGCTTGTTTGACCACTTCTAAACATGGAGTGAAGAAGGCAAGTGTTCAAAATTAGATTTTTTTCTTAATCCTTCTATTACAAGTATTTAGTGAATAACACCACTTAAAGAACTGTGATGGAAAATACCAATGAGAAAACTATTCTTGTCTCCATCTTATAGATACCAAGTCTATATAAGTAAACAGATATAAAATGAGGCATGTCCAAGGTGCTATGGCTGTATGAAATGGGATTTGAAATAGTCAGGAAGTATAATAAGATCAGACCTTCCTGAGAAACTCTGCTTGAGGTTTTTTAAATGGAGATATAACTCCCATACCATAAATCTACTCTTTTAAAGTATAAAACTTGATGGGTTTTGGAATATTTGTGAGTTATCCAACCATCACCACACCTAATTTCGGACATTTTCTCTCCCAAGAGAAAACTCAGACCCATTAGCAGTCACTCCCATCCCTCTCCCACTGAGCCCTAGATGACCACTAATCTGTCATCCTATCTTTATGAATTAGCCTATCTCTGGATATTCATATGAATAGCATCATAACTATGTGGCCTTTTGTGACTAGCTTCTTCTTCATTTAGCATGTCTTTCCAAAGTCTTCACTGTGCTGAAACTGTTCTAGCATTTCTTGCGTGCTGATAATATCGACAGAATTCACATTTGAATCTGGTGTCTGATTCAGATCCTTAATTTTTTTATTTTTAAGAGGTGTCTTCTGTCACCCGCGCTAGAGGCAGTGGCTTATTCACAGGCACCATCATAGCTCACTGCACCTCAAACTCTGGCTTAAGTGATCCTCCTGCCTCAGCCTCCAAGTAAGCTGGGAATACTGCATGCATCACCCACACCAAGCTCTAAGATATCCTACTTAGATCCTTAGAATGTTTCCATTCCTAAGAGTAAGAGGATAAATAAGCTAGAACCCATACCCTCAGTAATTTGTTGCCTGTTGTACTACACTTTGTCCATTTGCTGAGGCAGTGGTTCCTTGTTCCAAACTGCAGAAGATTAAAAAACTGATTAAGCTTATCTAGAGGTTTAGGGGTTCTGACACTTCTGGTTTAGATAATAACTTAAGTATGTTTATTCTTCTCCTTTCTCTTTCCCAGAAACTCCCAGTATAGCACAAGGTGTGCCACAGCAGCGGAGACAAAAGAACAAGGTAAAGAAATAGATTTTTTCATTTGTTGCCAGGAAGCTGGGTGAAGAAATCCATGTAGTTTAGGTGCGGGGTGGGGTTCCACTTTCCCTGTCTCCTCCTCATTTGTCTCTGTCAGTCCTTTCCCTAAGAGCTCTTGATAAGTACCATGGAAAGAGCTATGTACGTTCCAGTGTATTATCTCCGGCCAGATTTTATGAAATCAAATTCCAAAGAAGCCATGATCTAGTCGTATTTGACATCAAGCACAAGCTTATTTGACTGACAGGTGCTAACCTCACAGCCAACGTAGTCAAGTGATTGTTCAAGTTTACTTGTACTAGTAGTAATTATTTCTTAATTCTGTCTACCACCAATGTTTAGTGAATACCTAACCACCAAGAATGTGATAGAATCATATGGGCAAGAAAATATATTCTGCCTTCATGATGTTTATAGCCCAGATTATGTAATTAGCAAAGATAAGAAATGAAGGTGCTGTGGCTGTGTGGGATGGGAGTTGAAAGGTCGAGAAGTCGAAGCAGCCTTCCCTGAGGAAATGCTGCTTGAGGCTTTGTTTTTTTTTGTGTTTTTTGTTTGTTGTTTGTTTTTTTGAGACAGGGTCTCACTTTGTTGCCCAGGCTAGAGTGATGCTGTGGTGTCAGCCTAGCTCACAGCAACCTCCAACTCTTGGGCTCAAGTGATCCTCCTGCCTAGCCCGATAGTGGGCACAGGCATGCGCCACCATGCCGGCTAAGTTTTTCTAATAATTATTAATTGGCCAATTATTTCTTTCTATTTATATGTAGAGACGGGGTCTCAATCTTTGCTCAGGCTAGTTTCGAACCGCCTGACCTCGAGCAAGTCACCAAGCCTGGCCCT